TCCAAGAGGGAGACGAGACAGTTTTCTCACTGAGGAAGCACTTCCACCAGCATGATGGTTAACGCAATTCCCGCTGATTCACTCCCCAGATTTTTGATTGTTTACCCACCGACACAGAAAAAGAACACAAATGGAATATCTGACGGCGGGCTGTTTTCAATTCGCTTCCAAGCGCCTCATAAAAATGGCAAATTGAGTGCCGCCCCCGTTGCGAATCAGACAGATATAGTATAGTCGAACCCCCCATATAGTCCCCTCCCTTCCATAGCTCTCTAACTAATTGCCCCAGCACGCGTGCCATAATTTCTGGACGTTGTTTTTTGGGTTCGCAGGTAAACAACTGGTCTCGACCATCTTGTGTTTTGGCCATAAAGTATCCCTCGGAAAAAGAGCATTCTTTGGGCTCTGTGGCTCCTCGGGGACCTCTTAAACATTTCAGTTTTTCAGTTTTCCCCAAAAATCCACCTCCCACCAGCCGTAATAAAATTTCTAATTGCAACGAAAACAAATTTCGAATTTCAATGCACTGCAGGTGCCCATCGGAAAACAAACCAACAAATGTCTATGAATGGAATTAATTGTTATGAAAATATTGTGCCGGTGCCGATTGATGAATTGTGTGGGTGGGGAAAATGTGGGGGATCTTTGTAGATAAATAATTTAGAGGGTATGAGTCAGTGCTTGAGTTGGTGAAGATTAGCACGGTTAAGAATGCATAACTTCTTCTGCTGAATTTATAAGTCCAAAATAATCATTTTAATCATTAAGGTTAACTATAAAATTGTTGTTGTTTACATTCAATATGTTATTTCGATATATTTTGATAACAATCCAGTTTAATCTTTTCATTTTGATTTCCCAACTTTTAACTAAGAAATTTGTATTGGTTTTTCACTTTTTAAGTGATTTTAAGACGAGTGTATAAGCAGAACACACAAACTTGAAGAAGTTCCCGATAAAATTACTATAAATGGAGGTAAGAAACTCAAACCCCAGAGTGAAATCCTTTCAATAGTTGGTCAGTTTTCATTTATTTTATTATCCCCTTGCTAACCATAAAATTTGTAGTAGTTTATCATTTTTAGATATGAATTATCTTGTCTTTATTTAACTGAATTGGATTATTGATTCATATTTGCAATATACATTCTATTTTCCCTTTCAAAACTGAACAGCATTTTTATTAAGCTTTACCGTCATAATTTTCTTTATCTCAACTCTTCTTCTGTTCAATTCAAATCTGTTCTTTTAATCTGCTCTTCTCTAATCAGTTTGTTTTCTATCAAAACTAGACATAGTTCAAGCACCGCAGTTTATAACAAAACCTCATGACCAGGACTTACTAAGCCCATTTCCCCACTACCTTACCCCACCCCTAATCCTTCTGCTCGGCTAAAACCGAAAATGCAGCTTAACATTTGTCAACGCCACAACAACAACAAAAACTAGGAATAACAACAGATATAGGAACCATAATTCGATCCTTTGGGTTACTTCTCCATTTGGCCACTTGGGCTCGTTGGCTCTTTGGCTGACCGCATTCAGTTGGTGGAGAATACCGGCCGGTAGTTCTTGGTCCTGCTGCTGCCATTAGCAATATAGCCGTTTACACCCCTCGCCCCCTCGCTTCACCCCTCCGCCTAACTCTTTGCTCTTGGCCAACCCCTCTCGCGGACTAACCCCCTTTGGTTTGTTAGCCAGGCTTTTGTTTTTGTGTACTTGCGAGAGCTGCAGAGCAAAAGAAGCGAAACTTTTCAGTTTGAGAGGATCATGCGCAGGAGGTGTTCCATTTCCATATTCCTGAAAACTGACTTAAAATCTCGTTCTTGGATTCCACAAATTGCTTTACATTTGAAATTTAAGTATAACCGCAGGGTTTCCAAATATCAGATTTTTCAACGTGACAAACGGTATACCTCTCCTTTTTTCCTCAAAAACTGTTACTTTCAATGAAAACCTATCACGCCTAGAAATTATTCCAGGAAGTGTTAGGAACTAAGGCCTGGATCTCCAGTTCAGCGTAAATTCATTATCAAATTTGAATTAAGGCCCACCCCAAAACTATTATATTTTTATTACAAAACATAATATATGTATATAAAGTACATATGAATACAATTTTAAGTTTTAAAAAAGTAATTAGTCACGCCTCACAATCTGGCCAGTGATAGTAATCCGAGCAGATTTGCGATTATTTAAATTCAAAAGGATATCCGAATCAAAGATCATTTCCGGAAGATAGATGGGCAAATATTTAGAATAGACTGTGAATCCATTTAAATAGTACCTCTTGTTCTATGAAAAAAAACAGAAATTTAAAATGTTTTCAAAATTTTCGAAAACTTACCATTTTGAAAGGGCATTCCAGTGGAAAATTACCAACTCGACGAATTTCAGACATTGCCATTTTAAGGAAAAACTGCGAGTTCACACTGGACATCAAGGTACACACGTTTAGGTTCATTGTTGTAAAGTTGGTCGAATATGAACCTCTTTTCATCGTGATTATCAAAAGGCCTTCAGCGTTTGTCACGTCTTCGAAAAGGGAAATCTCTGCATTTAGCAAGCCAGCTTTTGAGGCTGTTGTGTTGATCTCACAGCTCAGACTTCGTACTATTTTTGGTTCATAGCTAAGGCATTCAATGCCGGTCATGTAAATGTCCATCTTGTCATATAAACATTAAAACTGATATAGTTGTTATTAGAATAGTTAATTTATTACACTGACCTTGGCAAGAACGCAGCTCAAACTGACTGCCCCGCCCAACAGGAGAAACAAGCTTAAAAGCCATTTCACGTTCATTTCGCAAGGTTCCCGTTTCTGGACTAAAAAGCTATTAGGGTTTCTAAAGCGCAGTAAGCTATAACATATGAATGTTATAGCTTAATGAAGTGATCGTCTTTTGATATGATCAATTGTTAGCTATTATATTTGATTCGGTTCAGCGGAGTATTTAATCTTCTTGGCCACGCGTGAATTTTCGATCAGCAAATGTATTCGTATGTGGATGCGAATTATATGTTCAGTAAAAATAGGGCATTTCCTTTATCGTTATAAAGAATAAATATATTTTCTTAAACAGGATTAGTAACCAGGATATAAACACTGAAGTCCTGGAACTACACTAAGAACTATCCATATCAAAAATGGGTTATAGCAGTAGTAATTCTATTTAACTGCCTTGCCAAATTAATTGAAGCCCAGTGATACTCGCAAATAAAAAAGGGTTACTATATGGAAAGTGGTGCAATAAATTTTGTATTCACAATTAAAGGAATCCTTGGCCTGATATCTACATAAGTACTTTAGGTCAGGATCAGGAATATAAAATATTTCAGGAAAGTTTTCTGAAAGTGGGCATCAGCGAATACGGGAAACAGCGCCGTGGGTTACTAAGCGAAATGCTTTGCGATCTTTAAAATTTACAAGGATGTCTGAAACAAAGGTCAGTTCTGGAATATAGTTAGGCAAATATTTTATATCCAATTTGAATCCGCGTATATAGTACCGCTTGTTCTATATGTAAGAAGTAAAATAGGTTAAAAATTTGTGTCACATTTTTTAGCCAGCTAACTTACCATTTTTAAAGGACATTCCAGTGGGAAATTGCCAGTTCGGCGGATTTCAGTCATCGCCATCTTAAGGAAAAACTGCGAGTCATTACTAGATAATAACTTACAATAGTTTAGCTTCATTGTTGTGAAGTTGGCAACGTAAGAACCTTGACTAAACGTTAATACGTAAGTTCCGTCTATGTATTTAACATCCTGGGAAAATGCAAACTCTACGTTTAGCAAGCCCCCTTTCGGGGCTGTCAAGCTACAGCTTACATTTTTAATGGTTTCTGGTGCATAATTATGACATTCAACTTTGGTCAAGTACAGATCCATCTAAAAATTGAGTATTTTAGTTTAAAATCATATAATTTTTTCTTTACTAACCTTTCCCAAAGCACTGCCAAACATTATTGTTCCCAGAAATAGGAAAAAAAAGCTCCTGACGTTCATTTCAGCGGTTGAACTTGTATTGACTGGACTATCGGTTCTGGGTTTTAAAGTGGGGAGACTTCAAATTACCGTGATGGCATGGACGATTAACAAAGTAATTGTATTTAAAAAGATAATTTATGTATAAACCCAAGCTTTTATCGATCAAAAATGTTCCAATGAATTAAAGAGTATTGGTAGAAAGTGTTTGTGATTATTGTTGTTCTATTCTGTTTACTATAGTGATGTGTTACATTTGGGAAAGTTTAAAATTTAATGTAAAGTCAAATGTGTTGACTCACGCTGAATGGACAATATCGAATTTCGTGGTTTGTGGGACTTATTTAAATACCAAATACTAATTAAGGGGTATCTTAGATGCAAATAATTAAAAACTTCAATAACATGGCCTATTCCAACACCAATGCTGTCTGTTTAGAAAACAGATGGGCCCCGAAAAACGATTAGTTTAGACTTTTAGGCTGTTTATGTATATAATATATATTAAATATATACTATATATATTAAATAGTATTAGTATTTTATATATATATTATATATATATATATATATGTGTTTATACCCGTTCATCGTTGAGTAACAACGAACTATGTTCAATGATGTTGCCATATATTAAAGTATATATATTCTTGATAAGGATCAGTAACCGATTCGATTTAGCCGTGTATAAAGGCTGAGATAGAAATTTGGGATTAAGAATTGAGAGCAAACAAGCGCCCACTAACCGCGAAAACTATGGTGTTATGTCTTAATATGTCCCTATTAAATATTTTATTAGCAAGACCCATTGTCGTAGCGAAACATTTTTTAATATGTATAAAATTTCTTAATTTATTTAAAAATGTGGGGTTTAAAGCCTTACGTTAGCTGGTACATTTTTAAATTTGTTCGGAAACGTGAATACAGTTTTATAATTTTGGACTTACAACTTATTTGGTTTAACTAGTAGTTTCTTTAAAGGTTAACTTGAGTCATTTGGGAAAACTTTGTAATTAATGACGACGGAAAAGGCGGCCATGGATAATTATTCGACATGCCTTGCGATCCTTGAGATTTATTTGGGCGTCCGAAATAAAATTCACTTCGGGCAAGTAGCTGGGAATAAGTTTTGAATTGATGGTAAATCCCCTTATATAATATTGTTGATTCTTAAAAAATTTATAATTTAGAAATAATCGGAGGTCGAAAGACAGCTTACTTACCCCCTTAAAAGGGCATTCCAGTGGCAAATTGCCAACTCTGCGAACCTGAGTGGTGACCATCCGCAGTAAAAACTGCGACTCAACACTCGATAACAAATGACAATAGTCTAGCTTAAGGGTAGTAAAGTTGGTCAAGTGGGAACCTCTTTTCATGGTCAATACGTAAACGCCTTCAACGTCTCGAACATCTTGGGTCAACGCGAACTCTATATATAATGAGGCAGTTCTTTTGTTCGTTTGTGCAGCTGTTTTGTTTAGATAGCAACTAACGTTAGTTATCAATTCTGGCAGGTAATTAATGCATTCCAGTTTTGTCATGTAGGCATTCATCTAGCAATAAAGATAATGAATAATATAGTTAATTTATATATGCTTAAGAGGATGGACTAACCTCTGCACGGACTTCGGCCAGCAGTGCAGTCCCCAAAAACACTTCAATCAATATTAAAAGCCTTTTGACGTTCATCTCAGCGGACTACTTTTTGCGGACTAAATAACAAATCAACGCTTAAAAATTATGGATATTACTTTGATTGTATATGCAATTAACGAAGTGATTGACTTTTAATGAGCTGAATTATTTAGCTCTTAACAGCATTTACTGTTTAAAATGTAATGCTATATTAAGACATGTTCTATGCATGGACGGTTTCAGTACTAATAACATCATTTCTAAAAAGCTAATATAGCAGAAAACATCGTAGTCCAAAGTAGCCACATAGTTAAGGCTAATTATCAATAAAAAGGGTATTTCAACAAAATGCTTGTGAAAATTATAACGGTTATACCTTTCAAAAAATTTATTAATTAATTAATTATTTAGTAAGAACATTTTCTGCATAAATGATCCCGTAAAGTGCAATCCCCACAATCCTGTTACTGAACCGGAAACTTTGGAATTATGAAACAGAAATCGAACCAATTTAAAAGTTACATTTTTAAGATGTATTGTTAATTTTATTGAGTGCGGGAGAGCTGACTTTTTATTGTTAACGAGAACATTAACCTATTATATTAAAAACAAATCTTTACTTTCAAATTTAACGTTCTTAGCCTACATTACGTTACGTGATGGCGGGCTAGCTCTTACGTTACGTGTTTCATTTGCCAATTTGTTTCGCGAGCTTTTTGGACAGGCGCACAACGGTTCCTCTCTCTCTTTCTCTTTCCTCCCCCACATTTCTTACACACTCTCTCTCACTATCTTTCTCTCTGTGGATTTTGCAAAACAAAACGGCCGGCCGTTTGGAAAAGTCGGAAGAAAGTCAGTTAGCAAGTGGAAATCACCGGAAAAACTACATTGCGCGGCAAAAGGAAAATCGCGAAGTCACAGAAAATTACACCGCAGACGGGAAATACAAAAAAAAAACAGCCCCAAAGGCAAAGCTCAGTCGATGCTGGCAGCGCCGAAGGCTGATAACAAAAGTTAATAACAATAACGAAGCGGAAAAAAGCAAAAAGAGAGAAACCAATGAAAAGAATATAAGTAAAAACAAAGCAAACAAAAAAAAAAATCGCGCGTTTAATTAACGGACATTTGACGAGGGCAGCGCAGCCGACGCTGCAGTCGCAGTCGGCGTCGCAGTCGCCGTAGCCGACGCGTGTGAGTGTGTGTGCGTGCAAGTGAGTGTGCGTGGGTATCTGTGTGAGCTGGCGATATAAAACTGCAATTGATTGCAATTTCGGCGGCATTTGCAAAATAGCAAGCCGGCGAAGAACACAAAACCAAGAAATCAATAAACAAACAAAAACTAAAAACAAACAAAAAGAATATTAAAAAACAAACTCGCAACACGACAAAACAACACAGCCAAACGGTAAAGATACAAAACCAAAAAGCTATCTTATACATATGTGTATCTAAAGTATAAACAAAATGAAAAGAGTACTATACTTGCGTTTGTGTGAGCGCAGCTGTTGATGAAAGTGAAGGAAAATCATTCACATTTTCTAGTGGAAAATGGGAAAACACAACAACAGCCAGGCACGCACACAGCTGCAAAAAAGAAAAGAGAGCACAGAGAGCTGAAAACTCAAACTCAGACGACGCCAAGTTCTTTTTTCCGCTTTTCCGTTGTTTGCATTTTATTTTTGTTTTCTGTTGTGTTTTTTCGCACACAGTAAGGAAAATGTCGACGAAATTTCAAAAGCGAAGCTCACTATAGATACATTTTATAAATCATTTTACATTCATAATTTTTCGCTGTAAAGTGTAATTTTTGCAACATAAATTGATAAATAACTATGTTAGATTTATAAATAAATTTATTTACAAAATTCTGAATTAGTTTGTTGAGTAATGTCTTAATTATTTTACATTTTCGTTACAACCATTTCATATTCATTTAGGGATTCAAAAGCTTATTAAAGATTGAAATTATAACAGTTGAAATTATTAAGCAACCATTTTTAATACACAAATTAGTTTTTTACTAAAGAACTAGTACATTTGTAAATACTATTTGCTTACTTTATTTATTTATTTACTTTAAAATCTAAACCATCAATTTTGAACTTCCTTGTCAATCAGATCTAAAAACGAATGTTAGAAAATTATTTAAAATTGTTTAAATGTGCCATTCATTTTATGATAAAAAGTTAAAATTCAAGAAGAAACTATTTTTTCAATAATTTAGTTTTTAAAAATATATATTTAAAATATAATAAAGAATCATTTTTAAATGATAATCAAAAGAAAGACGATAGAATCTTTTAAAATTGTTATTTCAGAAAGTTACTTAACTTTTATGAAATTAAACTAGTATTCCAAATTTTGAACCGTGTATATTTACGAGTCGAGTTTACAAGCCAGACATCGTTGTTGTTTCTTTTGTTGTTTTTGGCACGAGTATCTCATAGTTAGCTGCAGAAAGTATCTAGATACTTTTTGGCGAGTTCGCTCCTTTTTTTCCGGCTGTCTGTCTATAGAGACGCCTCTTCAAGTTGCGTTTCTTAAAAATGTTTCGCTTTAATGCCATAAATTTAAAACAGAAACCATTTGAGCTGCTTGTGAATATTTACATGGATATTTCTTTATGCAATCGCATGTTGGCCGGCAGTCAAAGTAACACTCAACTTCAACTTCTGTCTGCGCTCTCTAATTGAGTTAGTCTGGCATTTGAATGGGAGCAGCGAAACACACGCATCGCTTCTGGTCGAAAAGGGGGCGGTCCTGGATGCCAGACTCAGCGGGTGGGATATCCAGGGGGTTCGGCTGATGCAGAGGGTCACAGCCTAGCCCGTGTGTTAAATTATGCAAAACGCTCAGGGAATGCCAAAGCAATAAGTGCAGAAATGTTTACAGACTTTTGCCAAGTAACCAAATTATTCATATTGCAGTTTGGGTTTAAAATAAATGAGGACTTTTGGTCTTGAAGTTCTTAATTTTCTGAGCATAAATCTTAATTTGAAATAAAAATAAAAGGTTTTAAACTCACCTTTTATCTTACTGTTAATGTTAATTTCTTTATTTGCTAGTATCCTATATACTATTACTACTTCACTTTTTCCGTTTCTATCCGTAGTTTCCGTATCTTTACTAAATCACTTACCCTTCTTTTCTGCTCCTAATTATTACTCTTAGTAGATAGATAAATAATACTTTTCCAATAAAATATCCCCATTAATGCAAATGATTTTTAAACTATCCCGTAAACCAGCTGGTATCTCATTTATATCTTTGCAAAGGACATTCATAAAAAAGGAGCCTACACAATTCCGTTTGAAACAACTTTTTTATCATTTCCCTGCCCACGTACACACACGTACCTACACACACACAGATATTTGTTGGGCATTTTAAAGGGTTAACACACGCTTTACGACTGCCAAACTTTTCCACGTTGGCTTTTTGTGCCGGTCCTTTTATTTTGTGAAAATGTTTGGCATTTTTTGTATTAAATTGTCAGTGAAACGAGCGTTGGACCGTTTCCGTGGGGCATGGCATGGCATGGCCTGGCAATGGCAACAATTTAAAACGTGAACTGCCACTAAAACATGCCAAAAATCTGCGCATTTAAAATATTTGCCCCAGAGCCCATTGAGAGCCAGCCAAGCGATGGTTGTGTGGGGGTAGGGTTCGTGAAAATCCAGGCATTTTCCTGCGATTTGATTTAGTTGTTGTTGGCCGGCTTACACCTTTTCCCTCACACCTGTCGGCTGTGTGTTGTTCTATTCCTTATTTTTTTTCATTTTTGCAAACACCACGTCTGCGTTTTTATTGCCCCTCTGCAAGTCCTTTGTTTTCTACTCAACTGCTGTTTACGCCACTTGCTCGTGATCAATAATTAATTTGCAATATCTCCTTCAGGTCCATCGAATCGAACGGATCCCCAGCCAAAATATATACTATATAGCAGTCCGATGTAGCGAGAGCAATTATAATATACGAAAATGCAACCATTCCGTTCCGTGCCGTGCTAATGCAAAACGTATACGATCCGAAACCGATTTATATACTCGTACAAATAGATAAACCCAAGTGAAATAACAATTTTACAGCCCACTGAAACCGAAATATTGCAATTGCATTGCCGAATTCTGTAAAAGTTTAACAGCAAGTGGAGAACATCAAAGGAACTATTTTTGGAGGTGAGTTTTAAAAACCAATTTTGCTTTTGAATGCGTATTTAATTATAAATGTTTTGGTAAAAAGTGTAGAAAGAGCTGAATAAATGGCTATGTTGTGATTTTATGAAATTTGAAATGGCAATGAAAGACCAAAGAACATATTTAGTACATCACCCTAAAACATTTGAGATGATTGCAAATCTTAAAAACAATAATGTTTTTCCACAAGTCGGTACTTTCTTCATCAAATATTTCCAACACAGCTTTGCTTCACAGCTTGGTGTTATTATTATTTTCATATGTTGATTGCCTATAGCTTTTCCTGGACTTCTGTTTATCGACTTCAATTTGCTCTCAAACACCGGACCCAAAACTCAATTGGAAATGCAGGAAAATGGACTGAACACACACTCTAGTATAGAAAGCCAGAGAAGCCTAGACGAAGGGGGCAGAGAAGTGGGCGGATGGCAGGCGGAACAGAGCATAATCCAGAAAACACCATTCAAGGGCAACTTTCACCAGTATGCTTGATGGGCGAGGAGCGTTACTGGGGAGGGATTGAGAGGTCAAACCACCCGGTGGCAACTGCCCATCCATCGCTTAACATTTCCGTCTGCCATTTTCATTTCGACCAGGGAAAACTCTGCCGCAGTGGTCGGCCGCATTGGCAGTTTTTGGGTCTCCACAGACATCGGACATACATCACAAGCCCAAGTTCAAATTTCCTACTTCCTCGTTTCCACCTCCCCCGCCTCCTCTTGATTGCCACCGAAAATCCTTCAGCCCCCGCCACGCTCTTCATCTACTGCTCTTGCCTTTTTTATGAGTGGCAAAATTGTTGTTATTCTTGCCGAGTTTTCCCCCAAAAAAAGGGAGATCGGGAAAATAGCTAGGAAGTGTACTGAGGGAAATCTTGCGGCTAAAACTACTTTACAAATGGTTATCTAGATATTAGATTAATACACATGAACTGCTTTTTATAATATTAATGGTAAAATATAATTTAGTTGATAATAATTCTATCATTTAGTGCGAGGCTATAAGTCGTTTAATATAAATAATTATGTCAAAAGTTCACAAAAAAGTTCAAAAGTTTTTAGAAAATATTGAGCAGTGATTGAAAAATATCTTCTTTTATATTAGGACTTTAGAAAGTAGTGTTAAGATGTCTGATAACTGAATTATTTGATTTCAAAAAGATTGAACATTTAGTTCACTGTGTAGGCGGAAAATAAAGAAGGAAATTTTTTGAAAATGCCTGCCAGCAGAAGAAGCAGCGGGAGTAGAGAAAGCAGAAGCAGAAGACGGAGGCAAGGACATGGAGTGAAAACAGTTGCCGCCGTCGTCTGTCGTTTGTCGTCCTTCGTCTGTCGCAGTCGCACCTTCCATTCCACCCAGCAAGAGCGTCCACCCAACCATTCACCCATCAACCACCCCCAAAACGGCAAAGGCGGCATCCATCCAAGTCCGTCGACCCGGGTTTTCCCACATAACGATGCAGCACCAACGGCTGCCCGAGAGGCGGGCGGCATTTTCAACAATTTCCACATTTTATCTAACCACCCCCAAAGTGTCGACTGCAGAATATACGTATATATGTACATATAAAAAAAGGAAAATCCTGCGGGGGAGAGACCAACGGCAGAGAGAGAGAGCCAAAAGAGAGGCAAGAGCCCCGGGGAAATGAGGAATGGCGGGGCAAAAGTGGGGAAAAGCAGACAAAGAGAGCGTAGACGCTGCAGACTTTGCTCTACTGCTCTGTTGTTGTTATTTGCCATAACCTTGGCAAAAGGGGTAAAACCACTTTGTTGTTATTTCGAATAGAGCCCAGGAAATGGGACTTTGTTCGGGGCGATTCTATAAGGATTTTTGAGAACCTTGAATACTTTGTATTTTCCTAGAATTGTATTTTATAGTAATTCCCTTCGTATTATTGTTTGTTGTTTTTTTTAAATAATTTTATGTGTGAGGTTAGTTTGGGTTTATCCTTCTTTATTCTTCTTTGAAAAAGTGAATTTCTCTAAAACTATTTGAACTTTTCCATTCTTGGCGTTTTATTGTTCATCCTGTTTATAGGGAGAATAAGGACTCTACTTTTTTCTTGTATTTAATTTCCGCATTCAAGTTAATTGATGATAAGATTAAAAAACATTTCAAAGATGTCTAAATCTGTGAACTGAAAAAATGAAGTTACAAATTAATCGCTGCAAACTTTTAAGCCTTTAGCCTTTATTTTAAGACTCAAGCGACTTTAGTTTTGATTTGGGTTTAGATTTAAATGGGATTATACATAGGTTAATGAAACAAACTCATATTTTTCATATTGGAAAAAATAAAGGGGATAGTTCAACACCTTGAAATATGAAAAAACTCGTTTCCAGATAAGCCTACTAAGAAAAACTATTCACTAATTTTATTTCAATCATTCAAAATGAAGAACTAAATGTATGGAAAATTCCTGCTTAAGAAATTATAAAATCCAAAAAATATCCTTCATGATTAAAATTTTCGCAGGAGATGCTCTCGTTGCCCCACGTGAAGCTTTCCAACTTTTTCGTCGAAAAAACATTTCAACTTTATCCTAAACTTTTGTTTGTTAGTTTTTCTTTTTTCATTCCTCCTGTTGCCATATTTCCTATTCTCTTCACCTTTGCACCTAGACAAATCACACAAACTGACACGGCAAAAAAAAAAAAAAATAAAAGAAAGGAGGAAAAACAATTCCGAAACGTGTTTAACATTTTCATCTTCATTTCGCATTTTAAACAATTTTTCTTTTGCGGAACTTTGGTCTCCAAAGATTTTCTAACCCTTACAATGGGGCGAAAAGAGAGGAAGGAAAAAAAGAGAAAATTGTTTTTCTTTTTGCTTTAATTTCGGCAATTTTTCTTGTGCCAGAAGAAAAATCGAGTTGTCGTTCGAGGGGTTCCGGCTTACGTTGGGTTTTTCCGGCGAAAAGCCCCCCCCGCGTTGAAAATTGGGGGTTGCTTTCCTTGCTTTCTTTTTGGGCTTTCCTCTTTGGTTTTCTTTTTATTTTATTTTTTTTTTTGGTTAACTGCTACTGCCTTTTGCCGTTGTACTCTCTACTTTTGTTGTATGTTTATGCGCTACGCGTTTTTCCTAAGATTGACTTTGACATTAGCCCCACAAATACGCACACTCACTCACTCACACACACATATATATGTGTATATATGTATATATAGCTTTCGACACGCTTCGTTGTTGTTGCTCGGGTTGTCCTGTCCGCCATGTTGTTTTATTTTAGCACATTTACGTCATAATGGCATTTCCTTCCGCTACTTTTTTCCTTCGGCTTTCCTTTTCAGCCCGAGCCTTTGACTTTTCCTCGTGTTGCCGTAATTTTCATTGTGTCTGCTTTGAGAAATTTATCTCAGGCCCTGGCTTGCCTTAAATTTTCGCCTCATCTCGAGGTCCTTTCTTCGGGTTGATCGTCTGTTTGTTGTTGCTGTAATTGCCCTGCTTTATTCTTGCCATTCGCATTCTACTTTCCTGTTTTGTTGTTGTGCTTGTTGTTCTTTAGCTGTTTATTTAATTTGATTTCATTTTGATTTTTATTAGTTTCCATGTGGCGGTGGCCTAGTTCTGTTTTTATTTTTTGAGGGATTTATTTTCTCTACGGCGGCGGCGGCATTTCCTTTTGTCTGCCAAGAAATAGGCAAATATTTGAGACCACTCACACATTCTCCGCCAATCTCACACCCCTAATTCACTTCAAGACACTGAACAAATTTTATTAAATTATATAAGGAAGAAGTTATTGGAATACCTGAAGAAAGAGGATAAAAACTTTAGTTAAAATAAGATATAGTTATTATTATTTATTTTAACATTTATTTTTATAGAACATAAAGATGTAATTTAACTATTCACAAAGTGTAGAACATTGTTTTTGAATTTATTCCTAGGTCTTGTGAATTCAATCATTACTTTTGACACCTTTACAAGTGGCTCTCAATCTTAACAACTTCTCCAGATCCTACTTACCTACTTACTTAATTACGTAGCTTAAATTGAGAAAAAGCCATTCAAAAATATTGATAAATAAAGAAAACAACGAAGTTTGCTCCATGACTTTCTCTCAGTGCACTTGTCGAAATGTAAGTTTCGCCTGGGCATCCATCTCTCCACCGATCCACCTATCCATGCATCCATCCATCCATCTATCCATCTGTCCAACCCCTGCGGCATGCAGACCGCAGCATTGACAGGGCATTGACAATGATTGATTACCTACCCGAAAGTGGAAACTGTTTTTAGGGCTAACCAACATTAAGCGTTACCACCCAGCACACACACACACCACCCTCCACCTGCCCTTAACCAATACACCCACAAACGCATACACAACCTGCCACGCACAAAAAATTATTTCATTATCTTTTTGTGCGTTAGCTTTTCCCTCGATTTTCCCCCACCAAGTTAATTGTAATTACACCTAGATAGTCGCACGATTAGATTCAATTTGTGGTGCCCCTCGCTTATCTTCAGCTTTAGCTTTTCGATTCCTTTTTTTTTTGGGGAAAACTGAGGTAATCTGATTCGTTCTTGTGTACAGTAAAAATTTAGTTTTCAGGTGATTTTGTAATTTCAGTTGTACACTAAATTAAAGACAATTAAGGGGGACACAGGCGGACTTCTGTTGTGATAAGTCGAGGAAAAACGTTGGGAAATACTGACATGGGTTGTCGAGATTTATGAAGAGGCACTCACTGAATTGTGCCATAGAACTCGCTTGGCTGACAGTTAGTTGAGATTTACGATGATGACAATGGCCACTCGGGATCGGAAAATGTGGAATAAGAGTGCTCTGGGTAATGGCTCTATACCGGCGATAGTGTGGCAACTCTGGTCGAACGCGAAACCTGCCGAAGTTTATATTTATTACACTTTATTTATGAGTTAATATATAGGAAGTGAGAAGTGTAATGTTTATGAGTTTAAGTAAGTATATATAGTAAAGTTTTCTTCACGGGTTTTTCCTAAAAACTTAAGCAAGT